CCAGCATCAAATGGAAGTAGAAGCAGACACCCACAGGTAAAAACTGAACTGAACTGAACTGAACTGAACTGAAATCCAGTTGCAGAGAGGGAGGAACGATGAGCAAAGTGGTCAAGGCTGGTGAAACCCACAGAAACAGCTGACCTGAACAACGGGGAGCACATGGTCTTCAGACTGATAGCTGGGAAACCAGGATAGGACTGATCCCGGCCCCATGAACATGGGTGTCATTGAGGAGGCCTTGGAAACCTATGGGGCCTCTTTTAGTAGATCAGTACTTATCCCTAGCATAGGAATGGACTTTGGGAACCCCTTTCACATAGAGAGATACTCCCTCCATAGCCTCTGCATCAGCTCCTACCTCCAGTTTCCTACCCTGCTTGAGTTCCTGCCCTCACTGTTTTGAAAATGAAGTGTTAGATTGAACTGTTAGTAAAAAAAAATAATAAAATAAACCCTTTCTTCCATAAGTTGCTTTTGGTCACAGTGTTTCATCACAGCAATAGTACCTCTAACTAAGATACCAGCTTTCCTACTTGCCACCACCTACAATCAGTAATGCTCCTTCTAGAAGCATGGATAGCAGCAAAACCCATGGTGTTATCTATTCAACAAATTTATTAAGACAAATACATTTGACTATTTTGATTCACCTATTGTGATAAACAAGGAAACTAGTGACTCTATATATAAAACTTTTGAAAATTTGTGGAAATATAATGAAAATAATGATGCTGTTTGGTTGTTGATAGCATCTCTGGATAAATTGACAAAGAGAAATACTGAGTTCCATGATAAAATTAACCAACTTCTAGCATCTCAGTATATGGTGGAGAAAGACAACAATGAACTCAGTGATAAAATTGACCAGCTTCAGGAGCACATAGATACTCTAAATATTTCTCAGTATGTTGAAGAAAATCTTCTCTCCAGCAGCCACAAAGCTCAAGTTGTGGAAAATCAAAGGTAAGCCTTCATTATAACTAAGATTGGTAAGATTACAACAAAAGTTCAAGTCCCATCCTTGGAAGGTATTGGACATAACATAAATATAGGTAAAGAAGGAGATGCTATAACTTGACAGTTGTACTAGAGAAACCTACTGCGGCTGAGAACTTTCAACCCTCAGTTTCTCAAGATTTTATCTCACCTAATGAAGAAGTCTCTCCACCCTTAGCAGGAAGTAAACCCCTATCCACACTGCTTGAAGTATTTCCTTGTCTGCTAACCCAGCAATAACTTTCCCTAAAGAAGACACTAGTCAAGACAAAACTGATGTCCCTCATGACCCACAAATAGTTGCATCTATACCTATAACTAGACTTAAAGCTAAGGAGGCCTCTGGAGGGGAGACAGAAAAGTATAGTCATAGAGCATGTACACAAAAGAGCTTGATGACTTAGATAATTCATTTAAGCAGAAGTTTGGCAACATATATGAGAATGGATTTTAAGGTTGTGGAAAATGGTGGAAAGAACATAAAAATGGATCAGGCTGAGGTTTTTTGTTTGTTTGTTTGTTTGTTTGTTTGTTTGTTTTTTGTATATGGGCCTACTGAGTGGAAGTTCAAGGTTTCACATTGATGCTCACACAATTAATCTGGCTATCCAGGAACTCGCTATGTAGACCAGGCTGACCTTGAACCCTCAGATACTTACCTGCCTCTGCCTTCCTAGTGCTAGAATTAAAGGCATGCACCACCACACCAGGCACTTCAGGTCTTTTTTAATAGTTCCTAAAGGAACAGGACTTACAGACTATATCTTGAGGAGTGTGTTGTGGAATAAAAGAGAGAATTGTGTTTGGAATATGATGACTGGCCTGGAGTCAAAGCAGTTCTGGTGTCTTGGAAAGTGTTAGAATGAGAAGTATTTTGTTTTCAGGAGAATGGGGCTCAATACTCAGCCAGTGCTGCTTTTGGAGGCAAATGGAGATGTCCTTGGAGCTTCCTGCATAGAGCCTTCACTCCCTCAGCCCCAGCACTGGAACCTGTCACCTTTGAAATTCTTACAAGAGCACGTACCCTCTCCAGAGCCATGAATAAAATGAATTATTCTTTCTGGAATTTTTTGATTTATTGAAGTATACTTTGCAATTAAATATTGAATTAAATGGAAGACAGAACTTTTTGTTTATTTTGTATGTGTACAAGAGTATTCATATGTGAGTTGGTACACCTGCGTACCCATAAATGTTGAGGACAGAGGTCAACCTCTGATGTCACCACTAAGAAACCATCTATCATGTGTCATGAGCCAAAAGATGTCATTTTCCTGTGACTTGAAAATTGGTTTATGTTAGCTGGCCTATATGCTCCAGTGATCTGCCTATCTCCAAATCCCCGGTGCTGGGATTACAATAGGCTTGTTGTTTGTGGGTACTCTCACAGCAAGCATTGTACAAATTGACCTTTATTGCCAGCCATTATTTCCATTTTTAAAGGCTTCCTTTATCTTCAGGACATAATTTGATGGCTCAGTGTACATGTACTTTGATTTTAGTTTTTTGTTTGTTGCTGTGATCAAAACACCTGACATATTAAGAGAGCAAGAGTTTCCTTGTGCTCACAGTTTTGGAAGTTCTAGATCATTATGGTGGGCAGGGCACAGAAGGACAGAGCAGAGCAGTTTGTGCTAAGGCAGAGAGGATCAGAGATGGAAGCAGGAAACAGCCAGGGAAGACAGGTCTTCAAGGATACTCTCCAGGAACCTGCTCCCCACCTCCTAGGTTTCTTTCTCCCCAAGCAATATAAAATTAATTTTTAAATTATAGAACAAATTCCTATATGTACAAGGTTATGTTCTTTTAATGTATTCATATAGATTGGTCTTAATGAATATGCAAATATTAAACTAAAGAAACAGCAATTTGATGTTGCTTGACCTATATTTGTTATGGCCTCTGCCATATACTTCTAAAAAAATTAAATTTTATAGTTTGCCACACTCTAGTAGGATACATTAACCAAGCTCAGTCTGAGATCTGAGGTTTTTGGAAGCAAATGAATGTTGGGAGAGGTATCTCCAATTCCTGATGCTTGTACCTCCACATCCAAATGCTTACTAATTTTCAATTTTTTTATTGATTACTCTGTGTGTGTGTAAGTGTGTATACATATGAGCCATAACTCAGGTCTTAGCTTCTACTATGGTTCCCAGAGATTGAACTCAGGTCATCAGATGTGTGTAGCAATTGTTTTTACCTGCTGAGCCATAGTGCAACTATTCCACAAGTGTGGTGTGTGTGTGTGTGTGTGTGTGTGTGTGTGTGTGTGTGTGTGTGTGTGTGTAATTTTCAAGAAAGTATGTTGTGACACAAAAATAAAAGCCCAGAGACAGATATTGGGGTTTAAGCATTGAAGATCAGAGAAGCAACGCAGCCAAGCTACCAGAGAGCTCTTACCTCTGCCAGGGCTGGAGCTATCCTGACCTCAGTGTGGCTGGAGAATGAATGCCAGCAATCAAGACTCTGATCCTATCATATATACATCTCTAGTGCTGGTATTAAAGGTATGTGCTCTGTTTTTCTTTTAGACTGATTCACTCCCGTGTAGCCCTGAGTGGCCTTCAACTCACAGAGATCCATCTGCCTCTGTCTCTTGTTTAAAGGTATGTGACACCACTGCCCAGCTTCTATGGCTGTCTAGTGTGACTGGCTTTGCATTGTAATCGTCAGTGGCTTTATTTGATCATAAACAATATATCACCACAGTTAGTACCATATGTTGAGCTTATCCTCTCCCTACCATTAGTGTCTTCCCTGCTTTCAGCTTTCCTATTACACCCTTTTAGTCCTCTAGACAGTTTTACTTTTTTCACAATATACAGACATACATGCTTTTACATATCCTTACAAAATCTAGAAGCCATAAAGCATGTGATATTGGTGACAGAAAGATGACTCATTTCCTGCTCTTGTAGAGAACATCTAATTTCAAGGTAGCTCACACCTCGTTTGGCTGGCCTCCTCTGTCATCAGACACACATGTAATGTACAGATATACATGCAGGTAAAACACCCATATGTATTTAAGAAAAAAGAAACAGAAGAAATATGTGCTATCTGTCTTTCTGAGACTGGTTTATTTTCATGGATAGGGTTAGCTCAGATTGCATCTATTTTTTGTAAATATGTAGGTTCAATCTTCTTTATGATTAAGGAAAAATCTCATAGCCCACAGTTTCTTTTTCTGTTCCTTTGTTGTGGGATACCTAGGCTGTTTCCATAACTTAGTTGTTATAAATAGTGCTGCAATAGTTCTTGTCTTCACAGGAAAACTGGTCTCCAAAATACAAGAAGACACTAAACGTGCAGATACCTAAAACAGAGAGGACAGCAACCCAAAGAGAACCATCAAACAAAGGAAAATCTATCATGTGATAAACTTTAAAACTATTTCTATACAAGAATCTATTTCTCTTTACTTCCTAGTAACTTTTAGTCCCAATTCACTTAAACCAGTGCTGGCTTTAGAGTCAGATTTGTCCCTCCTCCTCTAAATCCAAGCATGTTGTTAAAATAAAATTCAGAGTTTCTGTATTATATCAAGAAGCCATATGATGTAAGACAGAAGAAGACAAAAATCTAGGGACTGTCATTTGTCTACACTTGGTTATTTCTCTGAAAGTCTAATTTCCCTCATAATTATTATGTTTCCTATTGGTGCTCTTCCCGGTATGCATCCTTATAAAAGTTGATATTTCTGTGCTGACATTAATGTTTAAGTGCCCCCCACAGCAAATAAAAAATTTCCTAACTGCAATCTTTAAATTCTCCGGAAAGAAAATGGGGCCCCACTTCATCAATTCCACTGGATTTCCAACTTGGTGCATTTGAACTCACAATCACCACTTTAAAATCGGTTTGGGACTACATTGCTCTAGACAACTCTAGAGCAGCTAGCTGAGATGGTGCATGTTCTAATTACACTCTGGCCAGAGCTTCAGATAAGAACTTCAATCAAGGCTTCTGGTGTTGTCTGTGTGCTCCTTCATTGCGGACCCGGTACCTATTTTGTGAAGCGGCAGCTGAGGAGACTCCAGCTCTTGCCATGGCCGAGGAGAAACCCAAGGAAGGAGTCAAGACTGAGAACAACGATCATATTAATTTGAAGGTGGCGGGGCAGGATGGTTCTGTGGTGCAGTTTAAGATTAAGAGGCATACACCACTTAGTAAACTAATGAAAGCCTATTGTGAACGACAGGGATTGTCAATGAGGCAGGTCAGATTCCGGTTTGATGGACAGCCCATCAATGAAACAGACACATCTGCACAGGTGGAAATGGAGGATGAAGATACGATTGATGTGTTCCAGCAGCAGACAGGTGGTGTCTACTAAAAAGGGAACCTGCTACTTTACTCCAGAATTTTGTTATAGACCAAGAACACATTCGCAATTAGAAAGCCACAATTTGGTTCCACCGAATCCTGACAGTATGGTTTTCTCTGTTCTTTCATCTCCCTGTCCCCATTTTTTTATTGTACATAAAGTAACTGGTGTATGTGCACAAGCAAGTTGTGCTTTTTTTTATTTAACTTTTTTTATTTGAATTAGAAACAGGATTGTTTTACATGACAATTCCAGTTCCCTTCTCCCTCCCGTCCTCCCCTACCACCCCCCCCAACTAAAACCCTACCTATCACATATCCGTTCTGCTCCCCCTGCATGGTGAGGCCTTCCATAGGGTGTCATCAGAGTCTATCTTCCTCAGCACTCTAGATCCTGCTATTTTAACCCATAAAATTCCTTTCAACTACAGCCTTGGCCCTCACCACAACATCTGTGAGCAGCTTTCAGTTTTTACCTTCAACCCTATTCCCTTAATACCTATAGACAGCTACTGCCTGCCTCAATAGGACAGCTATACTACTTCTGGGTATCTGGCCTAAGGCCTCCTGGCCTTATTTGGGATAGGGCCTAAAGCTGAATGGCCAATGTTTTGTTTTGATTGACATCAGATGGAGATGGTCTGGGGGGAAGTACTGGTTCTGTGAAAATATCCCCCTTTCTCCATTAGTGGCATGCTCATTCAGCTCTTATCTTTATTTTCCAGTAAGTTATTTTGCTCTCAATATTTTAACAAAAGAACCCAACAATAAAATCCTTGCATACCTTGTTTGATTGGAGAATTTTAATGTTTATCATTTATCATTGTAAAACCAAGGACAATTTTATAACTTTTTTGTACGTAGCTGTTACGTGTAGAGCAATCTGTATTTAAGTAAGGGTAAATTACTCTTGAAGAAAATGATCCTAGATAGTTTTCCCTTCAAGTCAAGTGTCTTGTTGTTTAAATAAACTTCTTGTTTAAAAAAAAAAAGAACTTCAATCAAGAACTTCAATCAAGCATCTCCTGCCAAACTCAGACTGGGTACAAATGTAGGTAATCCACTTAAGACCTTCACTACTCTAAAATTTACTTCCTACAGAATCATCGTCCCATTTCAGCAGGAAGTTACACTAAGAACACTATGCCCCGTTTCCCTACTGTTGATACTAAATGATAATGTATACCTGTTTAGGGTTAGTTTTCTATTGTTTAGGAATGGGTTTGGAAGGAAGTGTTCAGACTTGAACATCTCTTTCAGATGAACTTAGAGTTTAGATGGGATAGATATGGTTAGGATGAGATACAGATAGACTATTATATCTTCTTGTGATTCACCTTAGTGATTACTAGCTATAGACAACTTACACTGTTATAGATCCTGGTATAATGTTAACTTACATGTATAATTTGTATATCACAATTCGTCTTACTATGTAAAGTTTCTACTTACGATGTTTGGTACAAAATTATCCTTCATCTTCTATGTATATATGCTCTTACATATGTTAAGACATTTTTACACAATTTAGTTTTGTTTCAAGTCTAAATCTTTTTTTTTAGACTAAAGGGGGAATTGTATGGAGTAATCTCACGTACCTGTAGTGCTGACCATACCTGTCTGGGCATGGTCATAGGTAGGCAGAAGGGATGGGATAAAAGATCTGGGAAGGAGGCTCTCACCCTCTTTTGGGGTTCAGGTCAGGTCTCAGAGTATGTCTGAGACTGGACTTCTCAGAGTGCCAATCTGGTTGCCTCTTGTATGAGTATTTCTTCTTAATAAATATACCATTAATAACCATATCCCATGTTTGATTCTGTTCTCTTTCAGGTGTACAAGTGTCTCTCTGATATGCTGGCCAGGAGGCCTTAGGGAAGATACCCAGGAGTAGTATAGCTGTCCTACTGAGGCAGGCAGTAGCTGTCTATAGGTATTAAGGGAATAGGGTTGAATTTAAAATCTGAAAGCTGCTCACAGATGTTGTGGTGAGGGCCAAGGCTGTAGTTAAAAGGAATATTATGGGTTAAAACAGCAGGATCTAGAGTGCTGAGGAAGAGGCAGGTAAGAGGGCTTATAGCTGGGTGTGAGATGACCAAGTTAGACAGACAAGGGCAGAGACTAGTCTCAGGGCCAGTCGAAACTGTCCAGCTGGCCACTTGAAGCACTTTAGAAACATATGTAAGGCATCATTGTCCTTTCATATACCTTCCTTCTAATTCAGCTAACCGTAACTAGTTAAATGATAAGACAGCTTCCAACAAGCCTGCACACACTTCCAAAGAGACCCCAGTGATGGGAAATGTACTGTGTATGTTTATCTTATTGATTGTTAAATAAAATACTGTTTGGACAATGAGACAGAAAGTTAGACAGGACTAGGAGTCAAAGAGGATTCTGGGAAATGTAGTAGAGAAGTGGTGACCCAGGCCGGAAGTGACATAGCAAGGAGACTCATATTTGAGTGAAGAGAAACAGGAAGTGTCCCTCTTTTTCCCGTTCCTGCTCCAGCGGCAGGATGTGATCCACTGGTAAGGAGGGACACCAATAAGGCGTCCGATAAGTCTTATAACATATATAGATTTATGATAATTAAGACTGAGCTAACAGATGAGGAATCCTAGTCACTGGCCAAGCAGCTTTGAACCTAATACAAGTTTCTGTGTATTCATTTGGGCCTAACTTGGGCAGGCAGCTGGCATAAAGCACACATGTGGCAGTGGGGCTCGGAGGCTTTTGGCAGAAAGATTTATCGTAACACCCCAGACTACACTGTAGACAGGGAGATAAATATGAGGTAACTCCAAAATATTATTAGCCTATACCTACATTTTGAAGTATTTTCTTTCTTTTCCTAATAGTTCTAGAGTTTCCCATCATACATTAAGGCCTTCAATTATTTTGAGTTGCTTTGTGTGAATTGAGAGATAAGGATCTGGTTTCATTTTTCTTTTTTTATTATTTTTTTATTTTATTAGTTCAAATTAGGAACAAGCTTGCTTCACATGTCAAT